GAACATATATATATATATATATATAATGGCGATATGCTCTGTTAGGGTTTCGCTCGATGGCAAAACCCTGGTTTTATTCCTGACTCGGCAACGAAGACGAAGTTTCCCGCACTCGACGACGACGACGAAGGACTCTACCTTGTGATCCTCGTCTTTTCTTTCGCGCCAAACAACGAACGGCTTCAGCGTCTGCTTTCTGCGGTTTCGTCGTCTCCTCCTTCGCGCCTCTTCTGCTGTTCTTTTCTGCACGTATCAATCTGCGGTTTCTTGTCTGCAGAGCTGCGATTTCGTGCCCTTTCTTCTGCGCGTTTTGTGGTTCCTGTCTTCTGCGCAGCTTCGACCCGAACTCTTCTCTTTTTTTTTTTGGCATTTGCCCGACTTGCCAGGCTTCTCTTTGCTGTGATGGAGCTTCATTCTTCTTTGGTTGAACCTGACAAAACCCCATTTGCCCACGTGGTGGGTAATCCTCAGGGGGAGACGACGGTTGCCTTCCCTTCAAGTTATAATGAGCATCGTGATGGTACGAGTGACTGTCTCTTTATTATGAATGCAAGCAGAAAAAGTGAGAAGACAATACTCTTTTTCTCTATGTCAGAAATTTCAACGCTGACTGACAAATGCAAATTTGCTCTTATTGTGAAATTTCAGTTGGGACACCCACCTATGAAAATTATCAGGAAAAATTTTGATGACCTCAAATTACAGGAAAATAAATAGTGAGGCTCATGGATGAGAGATGTTTTGATTCAGTTAACCGTGCCTGAGTACTACACTCAGATTTTCTCCAGAAAATATCTTAACATCGCTGGTAAACCTATGAAGCTACTCAAGTGATCTCTTGATTTCGACCCAAATCACGAAACTTTTACTGTACCGGTATGGTTTAGTTTATCTGGTCTAAAGCTATATTTTTTTCACCATCAGGTTCCCTACTCTATTGGGGCCATGCTTGGGGATCTTTTAAAGCTAAATCTGCCTACTTTAAACCTAACCAGACCCTTGGTGGCCAGAATACTTGTGGAAAGGGATATTACTTTACCTGATGTTACTGAAGTTTAACTGAGCATAGCCCATAATGGTTATTAACAACAAATCGTCATGGAGCATAGACCCCCATATTGTACCCATTGTAAGATGTTTGGTCATGTTCTTGATAAATTCCACAACTTTCATCCAAGTTTGAAATCTAAGGTTCAAGTGAATAAGGATGAGTCTAACCCTACTGCTTTGGACATTTTAGTTCCACATGAGGAGGATACTACCAGACAGGAGGTGTCTGTTGCCCTTGAGTACCCTCCCATGACACTGCTGTTACTATTACTGTGAGTGATGTGATGCTGACACCTTCAAACCCCATAGAAAACAATACTGATGGACTATTACTACAAATGATAGTGTTAAGACTGATAATCAGGAGAGTCTCGTACCTCTACTCCTTCAAGATGTATTTGGTGTAGAGGCAACTCATACTTCACATATACTAGAACCTATTATGGGTACTGCAGTTGGTATTCCTTTTGCTTTAGCTCTACCACCCCATCAGACTGATTATTCGGATGAGGAATGACAGGTCTATTCCAGAAGTAAGAAGAAGAATAGAGGCCGACTCTAGCTTGGGAACATTTTAGATTATACATTGGTTACTACTGACAATGACGATCATCTTACCAGGTTATTAGTTTGCACATTCCCTAGAACTAGAGGCAGAGACATGACCAATTTGGGTCGCTCTCTAGCCACCTGATACTATGTATTTCGACACTGTTAGGTTTTTTATTTATCTAATGTATTTTTCTGTTAATTCTAGTTTTGAATCATTTGTGGTTTTTTTTGTGGGCAGGGTGCCATGC